GGGCACTCTGAGAACCCCACTCAGCGTCAGCGCCAGCTGGGAGGCCTGCACCGTTAGGCCCCAGGTGGTGCCCGCAGGCGGCTGCATGAGGGGAGCGGGGGGACCTGCAGAGGGGGTGGCAGAGAGGGGTCCTCCCTGGAGTCGGGGCATCCATGTTCCTCGGTGGCTGCCCTGGAAGGTGAATTAGGGGTCGGGAGAGGCCTGAGGGGTCCCTGGACCGAGAGGGTTTCCAGCAGCGCCAGCCCTGCCACCTCTGGGAGTGGGGATGGTGGAGCCTGGAGGTGTGGCCACTGAGCACAGCGCCGGTGGCACAGACACCACACGGTTTGGGATTGGAGTGCGGGCTTTCTTGTTTGGTCTTCATTCTGTGACCATTTATCCATTCAGCAAATGCTCCCCTCACCCCACTCCGTGTCCCCGATGTGCTGGCCTCGGACAGCGGCAAGAAAGGCCGATGAGGCAGCGTGAGTGCACGGCCACCGCCGCTGTGAGCCGGTGGGTCCTGGGGCCGAGCCCATCCCCGCCTGCCTCCCACCGTGCGCTCGCCAGGCTGAAGACATCCTATTGCCTGCCTGACTGTCCATGATCCCGCGAGTCTCCATCATGAGGGCCGGGGAGGGTGCACCGCGTGGCTGTCTGATCAGCAAGGCCTGCGTCCGGCTCGGGAGCCGTCACCGCTGGGAGCCCTTTGCACCAGGCGGACTCCACGAGTCACTAAAGGACGAGCTATCGCTTTGCCAGGGGCGGAACCAGCCACGCCCTCGGCGCCGAGCTGTGGTGCGTGTTCTCCGCACAGAGGGTGGGAGTGAAAGCATCTGGTTGCGCCGTTCGGCTCTGGAAGCCACAGGCCTCGCCCGCCCCCCCCTACCCCCCCCCCCCGCCCCGGGAGGAGCCGAGGCAGCAGCTGCAGGAGGAGTGGGTGGAAGGGGATAAGCAGGCCCAGGCCCCTGTGGCCACGGGTCCCTGAGCCAGGAGGAGCACTTTCTCCTGTCCCTGTGACGGGTGTGAGGCACCAAAGGCCCTGCCCCCTTAAGATGGCCTCGGAGCCACCCTCCCAGGGCTGAGCTGTGGCGGAGCCAGAAGCACCCCCACGCGGGGGAGAAAGCACCTCGTGTGTCACCTCGCGTCCCCATGTCAGCGGGAGCAGCTGGCCTGGAAAGGCGGGCAGCGCCCTGAGGGGCCCAGCCAGCTCCTGGGCCAGCGCCTGTGTCTCCACCCCTCACTGCCCTCCAGCAGCCGGCGCTTCTGGGCCTGCGCCGGGGGAATGGGTCGCCACGCCCTGAGCCGCCTGGGCCCCTTTGCTGTCCCCTCTCCCGGCCTGTGCACGGGGATCCCCAGCTGTGGACCTGATCACACTGGTGGGGTAACTGCGGGTGGCCCCCGCCCTCCCCTGCCCAGCTTCAGGCCCTGGAAACTGATTTCCTTTCCCACAAGGAGCCTTTTCTCCCTCCCCCTCCCCTCCTCCTCCTACCTCTTCCCTTCTTCCTTCTCCTCTCCCTTCCTCTCCCTTAAAAACAGCAACAACCAGCAACTGGCTGTTTATTTACTTCGGGATGGAGGGAGCCGCTGCGGCTGGGAGGAGTTGGCAGCTGGGCCGTGGGCCGGGGCGTGCGCGTGTGCGGGAGCCATGTGTCGCTCGCTGTCAGCTCTACACCCGGCGGGGAGTGGGGACCCTCCTAGTCACTTGGCAGGCGGGCTGTTCGCCTGGGGAGGCTGAGTGCCCGCCCTGTGCTTCCGTTTCCCTGGGGCTAGGCTGCCCTGACCATCTTCATGAACTGCCCCGCCAGACACCTCCCAGGGGCAGCTGTCGGCACCCGGAGGCGCAGCGCCCTGGGGTGGCTTGATGCCTCAGGCGGCCACATTCAGCCCAGCCAGCCCTCCTCTAGGGACTTCGTGTCCTGTGCAGCCAGTTGCTTCTCCCCCCATCACTGGTGACTTTGGTTCTGTTTGAGGCTGGATCTTGGCTGATGGGTGTTGGGATGGGTCCAAGCAGCTGTGGGCCTGGCACTGGGATGTGTCCCCTTCCACGGGGACTGGTGTGTTTGGCGCCAGCAGCACAGACAGGAACTGCCTGCCCCTTGCCCTGCCCCTCCTCCAGCAAGAGACGCAGCCAGTTTTGGGCTCATGTGTGTGCTGAGGGGGAGTGGCCGGTCGGCTAGGTGGTCTGGTGGGGAGCGGGCTTCGGGAGCAGGTGGGATAAGGGAGATGAGCGAGGTGCCCACCCTGCGGGTGCAACGGGGCCCTCTCTCACCCCCAGACCCATGCTGTGCTGCCCCCTTACAGACACGCCCCCAGCCTGCCCCTCACCCGTTTGTGTCCTCTGCCCGGGGCCGGGAGGGCCATGCTTCAGGCTGCAGCTGCCCTCTGTCTGCTCAGTTTTCCTCTCTCACAGGAGGAATTCACGTTTATGCAAAAACAAGAGTGCGTCGTCATAAACATGGGCCACCGGCCCGCCTCCCCCAGCTCACATCACACCGTCCAGGCGGCGGTCCTGTCTGTGCGGCGGCGCCAAACGGCGAAAGTCAGGGTGTCTGCAGGCAGCCGGGCTCTGGTCACTGGCTGAGCCTCTGCGGCCGGCCTCCCGGAGCACTGGGCCTCCCCGGGCTGTGGCCGGCCTCCCCGGAGCACTGGGCCTCCCCGGGCTGTGGCCGGCCTCCCCGGAGCACTGGGCCTCCCCGGGCTGTGGCCGGCCTCCCCGGAGCACTGGGCCTCCCCGGGCTGTGGCCGGCCTCCCCGGAGCACTGGGCCTCCCCGGGCTGTGGCCGGCCTGGGCCTGGGCCTCTTGCTCTGGGCAGCTGCAGGGCCAGCGCTCCTCGTGTGCAGGAGACCCCAGGACCCTGGGCTTCCTGAGGTCACCCCAGCGGCAGATCGCCGGCCGCTGCCGAGCACCGCGTGCTGGAGCCTGCCGTTGGGGCCGCGTGGGCTCTCTCCCTGGTCCTCGGGGCCACGTGGACAGGGAGGGGCACTCTCACCGGACAGACGAGGGAACAGCATGGGGAAAGGCACTGAGGCCTGCCCTGAGCGCGCCTGACACGCTGCCCTGTGGCTGTTTTGGTGGCCCTGGCTCTGCCATTGCTGTTGAGAGAGGCCCTGGGGGGAGGCTGGGCTGGGCTGGGGCAGGATGAAGAGCCCCCCCAGGAAGGTCTGTGGTGTGCGGGGTCCCAGGTGGTCCAGCTTGTGCCCTGGCCTTGCCCTGCTGGCCTGTTTGAAGTGACCCAGTTCTGGAGGCTGGCAGAGCTGCCATGCCCGGCAAGGCCAACTTTGAGGGCCCGCTTGGCCAGCTGATGGCGGAGCGTGTGGGTAGCACTTCCCGAGAAGGGTTTCTTAGGAAAGGGGTCCCTGCCAGGTCAGTTTGGGAATCGGATTACGCAAAGTCAGCAGGTTTACCTTCAAGATTTTCAGAGCCTTGACCCAGAGGCCGTGTTTATTGTGAGGGGCCAAGCACATGTGGCCACGGACCCTCAGGAGGGCCCCATGTTCCGTCCAGAGTCGGGGACACAAGTGCAAGAGTGACATGCCCCCAAGAGAAAGAACCGAAGTGGTGGCATGGACAGACGGCCGGTGGACAGGTGGACAGTGATGGCTGCAGAGAGTGAGGTGACCGCTGGGGTCTCCGGGCCCAGCAGCCCTTCCTCAGCCCCAGTGCCAGCTGCCTGCCCCTGGTGCCAGCGCCTAAGCTCATGATGTCAGCTCTGCAGGGCCGTTCGCCGCCTTTCCTGAGCCCCTCCCAGCTCCCTGAGCCACAAGAGCCCTTGGCGTGTTTCCCTGGGTGGCTTCCCATCAAACTGCAAGGCCTCCAATTCCGTCTTAAAGAGCCAGCCCGGCCGGCGGGCTCAGGGCTGAACCAGGTCACAGAGCAGTTCACGGTCAGGGCACAGGTCCGGGTTGGAGACTCGATCCCTGGTGACGATTCTCTCTCAGCACTGATGTTTCTCTCCCCCTCTCCCTGAAGTCAGTAAAAGTATATATATTTGTAAAAGTCAGCTGGAGGTGAGAGCAGAGCAGCAGGAGGACTTCAGAGCGGGCCTGGGGAAGCCATTTCCACGGGACAGGGAGCTGCGGGCTCACCCCCATCCATTCACTGTCAGCTCACTGACTCCAGGCCGCCAGCTCCGAGGTTCCCACCCGGTGACCTGGCAGCCGGTTTCTGAGGAGATTGGGGGGCAGAGGGGGGCCCCCGCTTGGTCCTGACATTGCTCCTCGTCCTGGGGGATGCTCTCTCCAACACGCCGTCTTAAAACCGCGGGCCTGAAAATAGCCGCCGGCGTGTCATTGTGTGAAGGGCAGCTTTCAGACTCTGGTGTCTTCCCAGGGGAACCACGCAGCTCTTTAATCCTAAATCCCAGCCCGGCGGCCAGCGGAGAGCATTGAGCGCAGGAGGTGGGCTCGGGCAGTGCCCTCTGCCCCTCCGCCTAAGGGCTCCGCAGTGAGCAGCTGGGCTGCTCCTGAGTGAGGGGGCGCCGGTCACCCTCCCCAGGTCAGCAGGCCTGAGCCAGCGCTGGCCCCTGCAAGCCCGCTGGCAGCTGGCTCCGCCCCTCCATGTGGGGACCTGCTTCTCAAGTTGCTCAGAGGAAGGGGAAGACAAGGTGACGCAGACCTCGGTGCCACCTCCTGGGCGTCCGTGTCCACAAAGTGCAACGAAATGGCCTCCCCAGGCCATGTGGCCACGTTTGTCCCACTGTCCTTTGGTGCCGAGGCTCCTTGCAGCTGGCATCCTCTTCCCTTCCTCTCGCTCGGCTCCGCTCTGGGCTTCCCTCCACGGCCAGATCAGCTGAAGTTCATTACCAAGAGGACCAGGTGTGGCTGTGGGAACGGCGATGTGGAGGTGCCCCTTGTCTTCTCTCTGTGTCCCCTCTGCAGCGCTCTGCCCTGGAGGTCCCGGCCCTCCACGGGGCACGGCTGGCAGACAGGCCTCTCCGGACGCCCGGAGGTCCAAGGCGGCCAGCGGACTGGGTGGGCCGGGCTCTGCTGTCTCTCACCTGCTGTTTCTGTGTCCACAGCCCGAGACCGAGGACGAGAAGAAGCGCTTTGAGGAAGGCAAAGGGCGGTACCTGCAGATGAAGGCGAAGCGGCAGGGCCAGGTGGAGCCTCAGGCCTAGGCGCCTCCTCCCTCCGCTGGGCTCGGAGCAGCCCCACCCCATCACTTAGAAGTTACCCTTGGCCAAAACCCACTCCCCACGAGAGCTGGTGTGGCGTGCAGTGTCGTCTCGCAGTGTTAACCTGCCTTCCTGAATATACACCAAAGCTTTATTTATGTATCCCGTGTCCGTGCTCACATCGTCCCCCCACATCCCCGAGGCTGGGGAGCACTCCGCGCAGCGCGGTCTGTCAGGACTCCAGCCTCACCAATAAAGCTGCTGTTCAGCTGGACCTCGGCCCGGTGGTCTTTGTCTTGGGGCTCCGTGGGCTCGCCCGCCTGCCTCCCTGAGCTTCCTCCCACCTGACAGCACCCCAGCCCCTTGGCCGCCGGTGCCTGGGCACCCCGGACGCTCAGGCACAGCAACCCACTCCCGGGAGAGCCCCGTTCCCGGCCCTGGCTCCGTGTCCTGGCCCCGAGGTCTGTCTGGCTCCTGCGGGTGACGCCCTGAGTCTGTGTGGCCTCCGTGGCTGGGCGGGGTGTGAGGGGCGGGGGGGGGGGGGGGGGTAGCGGGGGTCTTGAGCAGGGACAGCTGGGCTCTGCCAGCGGTGGCCTCTGGGCTCCTCAAGAGCAAGAGGCAAGAAGCCGCCTGTGGTGCCAGGCCCGCGGCGCATGTAGAAACCCCCCCCTTGGGAGGGAGGGGGCTGGCTGTGGGGTGAGGGTCTGGGGGCCGGTATGTTAGCGGTACCAGTGTGAGGGTGGGCGCTTGTGTGCGTGCACAGCCCGTGTGCACACCTGTGTACATCTGTCTGCACCCGGTCCAGCCGCCTCAGGGCAGATAAACCACCCAGGCCACTGCGGGGGCCGCCATCCCGCCAGCTGAGAAAGCCCCTCCCCCAGCAGCTGGAGCTGGACCCGGGAGGATGTTCCCTCAGCTCGTCCCCGAGCCCGGGAGGAACTGGGCTCCAGATGTGCAGAGCCCGGGCCAAGAGCTTCGGAATGTCTCGGGCCCCGGGCCCGCTGACGGTTATTTCCTGCCTGGGAGGGGGGGAGGGGAGCCACAGGCCACAGCAGCCCACCCTGCTCAGCCCTGAGGGCCTCCCAGCCCACCACACCCTGTGCCAGCCTCCTGAAGACTGGCAGTGCCCGGGGCTAGGACCCGGAGGCCGCCCCAAGGCAGATGGGAAGAGCCCAGGCTGGCAGAGCACTCGGCCCGAGGCCCCAGGGCAGCCGTGGGGGCCCACTCCCACCTGCCTCTGCGCCTGCGGAGCCTGGCAGGGGAGCCCAGGCAGGGGCACTCAGACCTCAGCGGGGGAGCAGGGCCAGTGGATGGGCTCTCGGCGGCCACAGGCCTCGGGCAGCCCTGGGGCCAGAGGCTGGTTAGGAACGCCATGCTCCCTGCCAGCCCCCCAGACATTCCGAAGCTCTTGGCCCGGGCTCTGCACATCTGGAGTCCAGTTCCTCCCGGGCTCTGACCAGGGCCACCGGGGCAGGGAGCGGCCTGCCCACCCCGAAGCCACACACGCGGAGCACATGGCCCCCCGCCCAGCCCCCCTTCACTGCAGCCTCCCTATGCACACACCCTCATCGGCCTCAGCGGACTGGCTCCAAGTCCAGCCCCTCCCCCAGGAGTTGCTCCTCGCTCTCTCGCTGCTTAAGGGTGTGGACCAGGCTGGGGTGGCACTGGCAGGAGCCAGGCTGTGGAACAGTGTCCTGGGCAGGTGCCTGCCTTCCTCCAGGCACGGGGCTGCCACTCACGGGTACGTCCCAGCTACTGGGCAAGGGGGTCCGGAGCCAGGCAGTGCCAGTGGCTCCGAGGCTCTGGCCCAGGGAGTGGTGGTCACAAGGTGTGGTGGCCACAGGCGGCCTGAAGAGGCAGGTGGGTCCTCTGCCTGGACAGGAGGCCAGTGGCCACTCTCGGGACTCAAGGGTCTCCAGAGGCCCCTATCAAGGGGACCAACTGGGTTACCCCCAGAGTTCCCCCGGCCTGTGGGTGGCACCTGTACCCCCCTCTGGAGCACTAATGGGGGAGCTCTGGGGGGAAGGGCGGGGATCAGGGGTGCTGATTGCAGGGGCCTGGCCTCCCCTAGCTGCGCCGTCAGTAGTCGGTTTGAGAACATTTCTGAGCCGGAGCCTGGAAGGGACAGCCCCCAGCAGCCCCTGCCCCCTCAGTGACCCAGCCTCGCTACCCTGCCGCGGAGCCGGCCCTGAAAGACTCCCCGTTCCTAGAAGTCGCGCCTGCGCCTCTCCTCACCCCTGTTCCCCTGCGATGTGAGCCTCCCGCCCGGCTGGGTTCTGAGTCAGGCGGAGCGCGGACCCGCCGAGGGGCGCGAGGGGGCTCTCTGCCCAGGACCGACCCTGACCCGGGAGCTGGGCGAGGCGGCCGGGGCGGCGCGAGGCCCCGCGGAGACAGGCGCCCGCCCCGCCCCGCCCCCGCCCGGCCGCGGCGCAGAGCGGCGGGAGCGGCGGGAGCGGCCGGGGCGGCGGCGGGAGCAGCGGCGGCGGCGCGGGCGGGGAGGTGGGCGGGGCGCGGCCGGCGGCAGAGCCCGGCAGGCGCCCCCGCTACAGCGGCCGCCGGGATGCTCCGGGCCTCGGGCCGCCCCGCCGCCAGCCACCCCCGCCGGCCCCGGCGGCTCGCGCTCGGCCCGGGGGCGCGGGAGGCGCGGCCGGAGCCGGAGGCGGGAGCGGCGGGCGGGCGCCCCGGACGCGGGAACGCACGGTGAGCAGCCGCCCGGCGCGGGCGGGGGGACCCGGGCGGGGGGACCAGGAGGGACCCGGGCGGGGGACCCGGGCGGATGGACCAGGAGGGACCCGGGCGGGGGGACCCGGGCGGGGGGACCCGGGCGGATGGACCAGGAGGGACCCGGGCGGGGGGACCCAGGCGGGGGGACCAGGAGGGACCCGGGCGGGTGACCAGGAGGGACCCGGGCGGGGGGACCCGGGCGGATGGACCAGGAGGGACCCGGGCGGGGGGACCCGGGCGGGGGGACCAGGAGGGACCCGGGCGGGGGACCCAGGCGGGGGGACCCAGGCGGATGGACCAGGAGGGACCCGGGCGGAGGACCCGGGCGGGGGGACCCGGGCGGATGGACCAGGAGGGACCTGGGCGGGGGGACCAGGAAGGACCCGGACGGGAGCGGCTGTCCGCGGTGGTCGGTCGCGGCGTCTGTCCGAGGGGCCCGGGCTCCGCTCAGGGCTGCGCACCCCCAATTGGGGAGCCTGGGAGCTAACCCGCCAGAGGCCGGTCCCCCTCCCCGGCCCCCGGGTGAGCAGCGCCGGGCGGGGGGGTCCGGGGACCGCGGTCCGGCCCGCGCCCGGCTCCCGGCTCCCCGGGGCTCCCGGACACGCCCTCGGCGGTGGGCAGGGCTGGGCCGCTGGGCCGGGGGGCGGGCCTGGCGGATCTGGCGGATCCGGGCGGAGGGGGAGCGGGGCCGCCGGGAACCCTTTCAAGTTCTCCGTCTCGTTGCGCAATCCGCCCGGGGCCGCGCGGCCTCATTGGCCGGGGGCGTGACGTCACGGCCGCCCGCAGACCCTGGGAGGCGCCTTCAGGCCGTGGTCCCGCCTGGGGTGCAGCTGCCCTTAGATGGGGGTCAGCCTGCCCTCAGGTAACGGGGCGCAGCCGGAGCTCCATCCCGAGACGCTGCGGGATGCAGGAGAGGCTTCCCGCCCTGGGTGCGGACCCCAGTGGAGCGGCCCCGATGTCCCCTGTTTGTGAAGGTGTGCTCTGTGGTTACACAGAGCCAGCCTCCTCTGAGTTCTTGGTACACACTCCCCACCCTCACCCGGTGCCATTCCGCTCCCATCCCAGGGCCCCAAAGCGGCCCTCACACTGCCCTCCCTGTTCTGCACGGGCTGCCGGCCTCAGTGTTCCCCTCTGCGGTATGGGCACAGCAGGACCCACCCTGCAGAAGTAGGAGGCTCGGAAAAGCCCTCTTAACTTGAGGAACAAAATAATAATAATAATAATAATAATAATTTGTTCCTTGAGCATTTTGGGGTTTAAGAGGTCAGGGTGGGTTTTATTTTTTTGAGAGAGAGGTGGGGAGAGAGAAAAAACCGTGGCCTTGTGTTCCACTCACTTATGCGTTCACTGGCGCTTCTGTATGCGCCCTGAGGAGAGGTGGAACCTGCAGCCTGGGTGTATCCGGACGAGGCTCTGCCCGCTCAGGCACATAACAAACCGGGCAAATGGCTTTACCTTCCCCTGCCTCTGTTTGGCCATCTGTCAAATGGGGACAATGACATTGTCAGTGCACAGAACCCCTGGCGCTGCTCAGATGGTGGTGTGTGCCTGTTCATGGGAAGGTAACTCCTCCACCCAGGGCGCGTTCCCGCCTGCAGACACCGCCGCGCCCTGCAGGGAGCCACTGTGATGCCAGGAGATCACCTGGCACGGGAAGGGCTGTGCCCGTGGGAGCCTGTGGCTCCTTCCCCGCCCCTCACGAGGCCCCAGGGTCAGACAGCTGTGTGGACACCCCAGGGAAGGCCTCCCATTGGCCGGCTGGCACAGCTGTGCAGATGGGAAAGGAGCTGGCCCACAGTGCATGCTGGTCCCAGTGTCCTGTCTGATGGCGAGACTCACTGGTGATGGCAGTCTCTGGACCAGGGGGGCACTCACACTCCGCCTGCTCTGGGCCCCCAGCAGGCTGCCAGGCACCCTGTGGAGCTGGGGGTGGCCTGTGGCTACCTCACCTCCAAAGCCGGGCTGTCCCAAGTGCTGTCAGGGAGTCAGCGTGTCCGCCTGAGGTTTGAGGGTCACCCACCCCGCCACGCTCAGTGTCCTGCCCCTAAGAGGCAGTGCTGCGAGCTGGGGGCTTTGGTGCAGGCGTCTGCATGGCGAGAGTCTGCTGAGCACTCCTGTGTCCGCTCCACGCTGAGCACGTCCCTGGCAGAGCTCACTGACCACCCACAAGGCTTTCCAGCCAGGGGCTGCCATGCCCAGCTCACAGCTATGAGCACAGGGGCCAGTGGAGAGCAGTAACCGGCGGGGAGCTGGTGTGGAGTCTGGCAGCCTGTCCCTCA